AATATCTTATTTTAAATTTACATCTATTTCTTGTTGTAGAGTACGGCGAGCGTTCGTACTAGCGCTAACTATTAAGTTTCAATAGCGTCTTATTATTTAAATTAAGTTACAGATTTTCACTCAGTACGGTTAGCTTTATACCGGAATAACAAACACCAGTTGATCACTAACAAATCCTTCGATTAAAGAATAAACGGTTGGAGAAGTGAATGCTAGTTGAGATTCCTAGAAGTAATCAACTTCGTCGAGGATGATTAGACATATTGATCTAATACTACATAATATCTTAAGATTTATATTTAATTTGATTTAATTCAAGCTTCTAGCTTTGTTTTGTTTGCCTTTTTATTTGCTCATCTGCATCAGTCGATTGTAGCTTTTATATTATTGTTATATACTTGTAGTAACAATAATGCTGTTAGTAATGGTGCATTGATAATTATTGTATGAAACATGTGTATATGTAGGTAAATTCCTTCATTGGTCCTTATTTGGTATATTTTACTTACTCTCGCAAATAAGGTGGGTAAGTGGCAGTGGCAGTCGAATTACTGGATGCAAGCCAAACGAGAATACGGAAGTGTACCCAACAGTTGTTGACTTTATAACAACAGCAACAAGGGAATTTTTTCAAATATGGACGCTGGAAGCCACTAGACAGCTTATTTCTTGGCCGTCAACGTCAAAATGGTGTTGATAATATCATCAACGTCATTTTACTGGCACATATTACAAATCAGAGTGACGTGCTTCAAAGCTATATTGCTAAAACGCAATATAGCTAAGTTATATATAAGCAATACGTTAAGTTAACATGCAGCTGTTATTAGTTTCCTGTGTAATGGACGCACAAGGCATAGGCTGAAGGCCTGTCCATGGGACTTTTTTTTTTAGAATCGATACTTAACCAGGACGCACTAGACACAAGTTATCTTTCTAGCAGGTGCCTACTTTAGTTTAGTCTTATTACTATGTCTATCTGATATTCTATTTTGGGTATCGTACACTCGCGGTAGCTTTGGGCATAGTTGCAAAATGTTATAGGTTAACACAGATGCTTAAACAGCAAAATAAATGCGACTTAAGAAGCCATATTTTAATATTTCTTAAGGTAGAATCATCTAGCTTTTGGGTATATATAGGCGATATATTTGATGATATTTCAAATTCAAATTTTATCGCGTATCCAATCATGTTAATCACGACCGGTCTTTACGTATTGCTACTAGCAAGTTATAAAGTCTAAAAAAATCTGCTTCAGCATAATAATGCAATATAAATATGAAAAACAGTTAAAGCAGTAAAGTAGCCGAATCATTTATTGCTTTTGACACTAACATTCAAGCATTATCCAAAGAACCTTTATTACATGTCTTCAAGGAAAATCTTTTACATGCAAAGTATGTGAGTTGGATTATCGGTTGGTTCACGGAGGAAACGGTTGTGCTAGGAAGCAAGCGTACCTACTGCTTTCAATGTTAAACCTTCTTCTTTCCACATGGCTGACTTCTCAAGTCAGGACCTGAATCAGAGCACGGCTGTCAACTGCAGGATCCCTAACGCACAAACCCCATTACCACATCTCATTAAGGCGACCTTTAACACCTCTGGTGGAGAATTGGTTGGGGCAGAATTCCCGCAGCGAACACACAAACGAATATACGCTGTCAGTGTATTACTGAGTTTTTACAAGAGGTATTATTTATACAAGGATGCGATCGGACTGAATGGGCCAAATATAAAGCACATATGCTCCCAGCAGGTCGATTTAAAGAAAAAAGAAATATTAAAGAACACTGTACGGACTTATCAATGCTAACAAAATGAGAACATTGTGCAAAACCCCATTAGAAAAATTACCTATAATCTGTCCTCCTTTTGGGTGTTTTGAATCGTGCTTTGAAAGATAGTAAGGGCATAGCAAATATAACCGACCTTCTGGAACACTTATAAATAGAAATTCTAATTAATAATATATGACAATTAGACCAGTAGTAAAGAAATATTCATTTACAGGATAAGGCATATTATTGGAGCTTAGAAGTCAGTGCAGTAGATTTCTCACAGTAGATATCTTAGAGGCATTCAAAACAATGGTACGACTTTCGGCTAAATGTCTTCTAAGGTTTTTCTACCCGAGACAATAAAAAATTTAAAGGCATATGTATGCCAAGAACGATCATGTTGGCAAGATGACAGTATTTCGATGCATCTCCGTATCGTACAAATCAAGCCTATAGCGTTCGATCTAGCTAGATTGTACGTGTGTACCTTTTATGAACCTCCTTCTACAAATATTTGAATTATGGGAGCGCATGTTTTTATTGCTTCTATGGTTGAAACATGGGCATTTAAATAATCCTCAAATAATTCTAGTAGAATGTGCCTAGAAAAGATTTTCTTTAGGAGTTTACAGGAGCACTAGCAGTGGCGTTGTTACTTTTTCTGTGAAGACAAGAATATGAAGGTTGACGCATTCTTTTCTTTAAAATGACAAGAAAATCCCAGTATTTTTTCTGAGTAGGAAATAACACATTTTTTTATTCCTGTCACATGTAAAGTTTTATGTTATGTACTCCCTGTCATTGTTGATGGTTTTCTCCAATTCTTCGACGATACAATCTATGCCGTTTCATTAGAATATAGTGGATTTCCTTTTGAAAAGTTTTTTTTTCCAATCAAATTTTAAGTTCTGATTACTTCGAAGAAAACGATTTCTAATAAATTAGATCTTCAGAATTTCACCAAACGTAAAGCATAATATTTCTTTTATGAAGAGCTAGTTTACCTTGAGTTTTGGCCCCTTTCCTGGAGCCACTCATTCTTATCCCTAACCCATGTTAACGTACGGACACCACTTCTCATCAGGAGTGACAATTCCTTGCAACAAGCGACCCGCATGACGCATGACAATACCGGGCAAATGTTGAGATGCAACGTTAAGCCGCGATCCCTTATTACATTCGGTTAGTTTATGGGGTATTCAAGCTTTAAACTTCTGTGTAGCTTCAAGGAAATTAAGGTGATGAACGACGATCTTGTGACTGTAGCTTATCTTTTCAGCCAATTTTCTAAATATATGTTAGCTATCTTTTTTCAAAAGTGCCTCCATATGCTTGTCGCCAAACTCAGATAACCGACAAAAGCAAAGGGCATTCTCTAGGTTTTGGGCGCCGTTGGCAAACAACTTCTGCGACACCGTCGTTATCGTAGAAAAGGCAAATGTCTGGGGCTGTCTTGTATTTGTATACTTGTATTGTAATGAGGTGTATTTTGAACTCGACGAAAGGCACAATATAGGAGGTGTCAAAGATATACTTTTTTTCGATCTGGAACATTCATCATTGAAAATTTTTTTCAAGTCGAGATAGCACGCATAACACTACACCGTTACAGCACGCTGACAGAGTAGGAAAAGTGCCTTCTACCGATACATCAGAAGTAAACAACAAATGGGGAATAATGGTAAAAGTATTTTTAAGAACGCGAAAACTTTCTTGCCAGCCCTATACTTCAGATCTGCAGGTCCAGAGATTTGCAGCTTAGAACCAATTGTTTTTTTTGTCAATCCTGATCTGACCGAAATTATTGTATATCGTGATTTGCGCTTCGGTCGGACTAGTTCCGTTCACATTTAAACAGTGTCTCAAAGCCACAAACGGGTTCATTATCTAGCAAATGTTATGCTGACAGCCCGACGCGATTGCTCACGCTTATTTTTGCTATCTACTGTGGCCTGTTAACAAAAAATTTGATTCCTTTTTCTTCTTGTATCAACTATAATTGTTTTTATAAAAGATACACATCTCGATTTATTTATCACCGTAACTTAGATGTTTTTTGTGTACTTTGCTACACGCAAAGATTTTTCGCTGACAAGCGCACATATTTTTTGAAAACTAAATTTTTGTATTTTAGAGCATACCCTTATTTCTGTCAGTTAAGGACAAAACATTTATTTTGTCGCTTTGCTCAGAAGCAATGCTAAGGTGTTGGCGTACGCCTGGTCGCTGTGTGGGCGGTTGGTAAGACCTCATAAGTCATTTGAAAGAAAGCTAACGTTTAATAAAGCTAAGCTGGCGAAATAGACCTTAAAGAATAAAAGGCTTTTCGCGAGGCGAAAATCGCTGAATCGCTGATATCTCAAGTGTGGACGTAGCCACCGAGGGACCGGTCCGCGCCTTCGAAAAAACCAGTCCCGAAATCTAAAACATCTTCAACCATAATGTTTACAAATTGTGTTTCCGGAAAAAGCAATCTGACCTGAACTGTTAAGTTAAAAACATGAGAGGGCTAAACTAATATAACCAGAGGAACTGAAACCAAGAACTGACTTCTTCTTCAACAATATCAAGGGGTCGTTTGGGTCTACTCTTTTGCCAACTTGTTGCGATATCTTGTAGGATATCCTTGGACATCAACGTTACGAGAAGTTACCTCTAAGAGACCTTATACAGGTAAGCGTGCGAAGCAAAGAAAGAAATAATTTGCTAATTTGTTTACAATGGGGCATCCAAACAAAATATGATGAAAGGCGCAACTTTTAGGTGAGAAGCCAGTATCTGTTAGTACGTGCGGACAAAGGTAGGCACGTGACACCATAATATCGAGCATTTTTATGTTTAGTTAAGAGGTACTTTGTTACACATGCAAACCGCGATCTACGGCTTTGGCATCTGTAGCTATAGAAAACGATTCGTCTCTTCATTTTCATCTACAAATTGGTAGAATATTGAGGCTGTGAAGTGTCCAGGTTCAAAACTCACAGCGAAACAAAAACGGTGTTCGAAGTTCGCAGATGTGAAGTTAAGGATCGTCATTACGGTTACCACTGTCAAAGAATATTTAAGACTGCTTAGCGAATTACACTTAGGTGTTGCCGAAAATTAATACTATCATTGCAATATACGTCAGCCGTAAGATAGACAACACTTAATGAGATGAAGGGCTGGTTGTTAACAGGACCATTTTCAGTGTTTTAGGACGACGAAGTTATTTTGATGGAAACTGGGACTAATGCTATAGCTGATAGCGGTGAAAACAGCTGGTTTAAGGTTATAACAAGGCAAGCTGTGACTTCAAATTAGGCTAAACAGCTAGGATCGAAGTAGTAATCGAGTGGCCAAATAGTTCGTTAGCCGAATAGGACGTTCTAGGAAGCTTGTCCGTAGTAAATGTGCGTGTATCGTTAACAGAAGAGCCATCTTTTATGTGACACTACGCAACAACACGGCCTCAACCGTCATATACTAAACATAGTTTCGTATATAGCCGTGTTAACTAATCTCGGCAATTTCTCGGCATGGGAGATACGAATGCTAGCGAGCTACGAGTAATATTACGGCGTCTGAAATCGGTTCGACAGATGATATGTCAACAAACATGCCATAAATGTCTCTGTCCGCTTAATTTCCTTAAACTTATTGAATGTATCTCGTTGGTTATCTATGTATATACGCAAATACAATACGTAATATACATCGCTCAAATGAGCTGTCAGAATATTTAACATAATGTAGGTGATGAATTTTGCTAATTTTGTGGGTGTCAGAGCGGACAACTTGAACCTAGGCGCAAGCGTTAACTGCCGCGGGCATCACCATACTCGTAATACTTTGGGTAACACATAAAGGCAGCAGTCCTGTATATTATGATGATATGATGATGTAGCTCTCACCAGAGAGGGAGGTATTTTGGGAAAAAGTTTATCTTTTGTTAAGACCAATTGTATCAAATGTAGCTTTAAAAAGAAAAGAAAGAAGAAACTGTCGCATATGTGTATGCAATATAAAGTTGCGAATATTTTTCTGATAATTTTTTTTTAGATAATAATTATTCCAAAGGTGTCGGAGCGACAAACACGCATATACTTTTTTTTCAGAAAATGGCCTAAAAATTGACCACCAGCTTTTGCGGGCGGGCGAAACAAAACGAGCAAGTCTTTCCACGTCAGTAAGTGAGCGAATTTATTCTTTGGCCATGAAACACTTGGAGATGAAACAACTGAATGCAGAAATGAACACCAGAGATGTTTATTCTGGACCCAAAATCGACCCGTACCTTAGGTTAATGAAGAAGTTTTAACCTGGCAATAAATTCGACAAATTTTCTTTAATGTATAATTATCGATCCCAACTGAATTTACCAATGATTTTGAAAGTAAATGTAAAAAAGTAACGCGCGTCTAGACTGCAATCAACGAATCCTACCAAGAAGAATCTGTTTGTAAAATTAAGAAAATAGTATTTCGTAAAAAGTGGTCTAATCCTGGTTTGTAATTTGTCGGCGAGTGCCATGCGAAAGGATACTACGCGGATTTACTGCTCCACCTCTGAACTTTTGGGCCTGAGATGACATTCGGCGTCCCCAAGAAGCAAAAAATCGAGTTCTACGTGCTCGGTAAGTGTTCAAAAAGATCATCCTGTTTCGTCCCGGCAAAACCATTCACAAGTCTGCGACAATCTCATACACATATCTTCCCTATCCGCTTTACTATTTTCTTGAATGACTGTTTTCTCATTAAGCATCTGAAATAGCAGCACTATTGAAGCCTCTTTGGTAATTTTGTACCAGACAATAGGAACATGGAATATATAGGATAACTTGAACTGAACAAGGAGCTAAGAACAAAAGCAAGCTAGTGTGCATCAAACTTCTTGAATTTACAAACGTGGTAGTCTCTGAGACATGAGACGACTAGCAATTGTACCATTTGTCTCACGCACACATACACACGCATATAAAGTCGCCAAAATGGTTTTAATCGTATTTGTTTATTAAGTACGCACAGTAAACAGTGCCGTATTAATGGGTGATGTAGTAAAGTACTGATACGTACATTTTTGTATATGAAGTCTAAAACGTCTCCGTCCTTTTGAACGTACTGAAGTAAATGAGCTCATCCTGTATAAATATTTTATACAATTGTAATACCTTGTACCACCAAATATAAAGGTATTCCAAAGATATAGTCACTTTTTCTCCCATAATCTTCCTCAGAGTCATACCATAGCTTAGATGGTATAGTTAAAGCAATATGAGCATAGATATAGCATATTCTAGCCTTATGTGTAACTAAAATGTCGAAAAGTGATGCTGATTCGTCATAGGCAGGTTCTGCTAACGAAGGCAGCTGGTGGCAGTGTCAACGCTACCAGAACGAAGTAGAGTAGGTTTTAAACAAGAAAAAATGCACATAATATTGTTACCTGTTTGTTGTAGCGGAACTAATTGCTTTGTCGTTTTATATAATACCTGAAAATATTTTGTAAAGGAATTAGAGAACGTCAGTCGAATGGTAAAACCTAAAAACATGATTGAGATGTAAAGTATATCTATATATATTAAGCTGCTGACACTAGCGGGCGTTTCCTACACATCGTTGCAATCTAGTGGGTTCAACAATTCGTAGTTGATCCCACATCATGCATCACTCTACTTGAAATTCTCTCCCATCACAACATCTACACGCGCTTTTGTATGGCTTTGTGTCGGATCTGAGCCTAGTGTTGTTATCGAGCAATAAGGGACCTAGTCTCTATATGAATAGTGCCGCTGCACGGGTTTGTGGATTGTCTCCCTTCTGTCGCGAGCAAATGGGCGTGCTCACTTCTCCATGTACTGAAGCAGAGTACTCGGAGACGCACACACTGCTGTACTAAAATACAGCAACGTGTTTCTCTTGGGCGCTGTTTCCTGTCTATTGGCCTCTACTGTCCTGGCTTCGTGATGCATTACAGGAAGCACGAAGTACTTTGCATTAGTCTCTAGCGCTTGCTCTCATGACATTCACAACTCACTCCGATGTCGCTATAATTTCAATGTTAGGAGCGCATTGTATATCGTGTGCTTATATATAGGCAACGAGTGTGCCGCAAAGCTAAGCCGTCGACTCAATCATGTCTTTGAGTTTCAACTTAAACCGCGTCCCCGTTTCAAGCTTTTGTCGGCATAAAAGCAAAGGACACTGAACAAGTTGGGCGGAACATCGAGCCATAGGCTACTGGACTCTGCCGATGAACTTAAAGGGCACAGCCAAGGCCGAAGCCGTCAAAGTTAGAATGCCGTTACTGGTTGCCCTGGTGCTACAACTAGTATTCATCACATCAACCCCGTCGTGAAAGATAACAATTCGTCTTTGAAAAGAACTCCTTTTAAAGTTATTATCGTGACTGAGCAATATTTTAAGCCCCCTGATTGCAGTGATTATCCTAAACTCAGATTAAAATCGTTGCGCCCCTGAAAAAGCGAAAAACATACAGAGGATAAGAAAAACTTGCAGATAAACAATAACAAAAAATTATTGAAAACGCACTCGAAAGTAGTTGAAACATTTAACAGCTGGCAAAGATATAACTTTTACCTTTTTATTTGTGAGTTTTTTTGTTTTATTATTGATTTATTTATTGAATTTGTGATATTTAATGCTTCTGTTTATCTTTATAGAAGTGGTTGATGCTGTTTTTTGTTTGTGATAAAAGGCACCTTTTTATGCAATTAAGTACATCTAATTTGGGCCTTGATCTATACAGTTGAAGATTTGTGCTAAGCTGGTTCTCCAATAGTAGCCGAAAAAAAATAAAGGTCAAACATTTTTCCTTGTAACGCAACAACGGCCAAAGGGATTTAAGAACATTGAAGCGTGTTGGAAAACGAATTTCCGGACGACGTACCTGTTTTTATGTTGCGCTAGGAATTGAGCTTTCTCAAGGAAATGTAGCTGCCGTTACGTACTATGCCGATCTCCTTATCGGTAACTCATTCAACACAAATACCATACAGCAACTGTGGTTAGCGCAGTTCCGGCCGCTAGAATCTGATATTAAACTCTGCTGAAAAAGTTTGCTTTTTTTGTAGCTTGAAATTTTTTTTTTAGCAAAACTTTTGTAAATAAGTAAAACAGGAATTAAAACATCAAAAAAATCTTCGAAATACGTGATATTATCTTTTAGTTTTCAATATAGAGTATTTATGTATTTGAAAGCTTTAGGGTAGTTGTTTTCATTAGCTTCGCCGCTTAATGCGCAGCGCTTATTTAGCAAATGGGCAAACGAGGTATCAATATTACCCCAAGTATATCTGGCTTGAGATGTATACATACAATGTATAATTATTGAAATCAGAGAAATATTAATTTAGAAAACCTAAAATTTTATCCACAAGAGCTCAATGTAGTAGTTATCCGAAGTGCGCAACTATTACAACTGCGAAACGATAAGTTCATTGAAATACGAAATGACTCGAGTGTAAATAGCTCTAACCTAAGGATGAAATCTACCTAATTGACGTAGAAAATATTGATTCTTGTTAAACGTAAGTTGTAGTGAATAATTAGAAATTCAGGGTGTGCCTATTTGAATCTTGGCTGTTTGTACGATGGCGTGTTTAAAATAAGACTTTTTCTTATGCTTTGTTTCTATGACTGTATTTAAATAAAAGCAAATACTTCAACGATTTTTTTGCATGTGCTAAAAGTGTCATTTCTGACGGTCGGGTTAATTCAATAAAACCCCTATTCGCTGTGATTACAGCTTTAGTCGTTTTGAAGATTTTTATTTTAATTTGCAAATAGCTTTTTACTAGTAACTGTGCATCAAGCCATATTGGTAGATGTAAATTCGCTACATACAAAAAAAGCCAAGGGAATTTACTTTTGGAATAATAAGTCCCAAATTGCAAGAGCTTAAGCAATCAAAGAGTGCGAAAACGTAAAAAGCCTTAAGAAGACTAGTAATTAGAGCATGTCTGAACTACCGCATTGCCATTTAACCTTCTATGCAAAACGGCAGTTAATTTATGTATAAAAACCGCTTCGGTAAATTTTTAAAACCTTTAGATATAAACCTTATCGAAGACCTTTTGGTCTGCCTCACATTTTTCAGAAGCCGCATGAAAGTCACAACAAAATCTATTATCCATTTTATGCAAGAAATAACGCTTTTCGTCTCGGTGGGGGGTTTGCCGAGCACGAAAAATTTGAACAGTAGTTGATCTTTGCTTAAACGACCCACTGTTGCACGTCGTGAGAAGTAACGGATCAGCCATGCATGCAGTAATATAATATAATATTATATTATATTTTATTACTGCACTGCAGATCATATAGCGAGTATCTACGGACAATAGCTAGATAGAACACACAGAGGACAATCATAATTTTCAAAGGATATAGCATAGCCGGTCTTAATTGTAGATTTATGATAAGAATGTGCTTAGTAATACGTGCAAATCTACGTAAAGGCTGATAAGGGTCGCAGTCATTTCAATCAATCAGGTAAAAGATGCTCTAGCTACGGGCCATTTCCAGCTAACATCTAAATAATTCAACAAGCTCCTTTCGAGGTTTTTCTATGTGGCCAATTGTTTCAACAACCAAAAAGATTTTTTCGAAATCCACATTATTGAAGAGGCGCCTTAATTTTAAATAAATATAGTTTTACACATTTTTTTTAAGGTTAATATCAATCTTTCTTAAGATTTTTCTGCCTATCTAGCTAATTTTCGATCGTAATTATGTAAATGTGAATTTTTCTGCAACAGTCGTTTCCGCTAAATTAAATCGCTAGGTCATCGCTGCATCATTTGAAGCACGCATATCAAACTTTTCGGTTTCATTTCATAAACATCTTTTTGCATCAGTATTATCCACAATCTACCAAATTATGTTTTGATGATTTTTTTAAGATTTCTTTTTGAGAAAAGATGTGAGATCCTAATAATTCTATGTATGTTTCAATGGACTTTTAAAAATTGAGAATGTGCCATGAAGATCACAAAAATCATCATCGAGAGACTACTTAGAATATGAATATTCGGCAAAGAGAAAAAGGGGGAGCCTAAAATTAAAAAGATCGCTAAGCATTTGTAAATATGTTTCTATGAGTGTGGTAATATAAACTGCATGCAATGGAAAGGCATACATAGCGTCGCTATATTAGCCTATGCCCGTAGCAATATTAAAGGACAAATATGATGAACCGTACAAATAGTTAAACACGTTTATGGTGTTATTAGATTTGTGTGTAACCAGGGAGATGGAATAGCGAAGAATATGATAGCTTAGCAAGAACGTGTGTTGCTTTGTAATAATGGATTATTTTCTCTGATACTAGATTTATATATGTATATATAAATACGAATGGATATAATATCTTTGGTTACTATGGATGTAAATGTATATTAAAAACTAGTATATAGTACGGATGTTTAATAACTAAATAGAAACGCTATGATGACGCTCTATAAACTCCGTTTCTAGTATCAGTCTACAATGCAAAGATACCCTTTAGGGACCTAATCAACTCAGAACTTAATCAACAAAGGCTATTGAATATTTTATGAGTGAGTCCCCGACTAAAAGGGGATCACAGCTTCTCATTTTCGAAATTCTTAGATTACTA